TTTATTGAACATAAATCTTGGATTGGGGTGTGACAACCCAAAAAGTATATTTCTTATTTGTATATGGAAAATTGGCTAATATCCCTTAGTCAATTTTTCTATACTATGCCCAATATTTCTCAATATTGGGCATTGGCGTGCCTATGTACCCCTAATAGGTTATCCTAAGGTCATACTGGGCTCTTGATTAGACATATGATTTTCCAGAATGTTACATTATCCCCCCTTTAGGAACATTCGTCCCCGAATTACACTTACACATCACTTAAACAAGAGGTTGACTTTCGAAATTTACTCTATCATGCTTAAATGTTTCTCTTTTGTGAATATCTGATTCACACTTATTTGGATGATTCATATCATTCAAGCTCATCTGAAGCTTCATATTTGAGATTGATGAATTTCCTTCTCAATCACACTTAACTTAATGAATATCGCAAATCATGCAGTCAACTTAGCATTCTCTTCCTCATCAATACTCATAGCAGTCTTTTTGACATTACCATGCATTCACCTCCACGCGAACGGTTATCCTAAGGGCATACTGGGCTCTTCATTAGACATATAATTTTTTGGAATGTTACAATACATGATTTTTAAAAGTAGTAGGTGCATTACATAATCCAAATGACATGCTTTGGAACACAAAAGTACTATAAGGACATGTAAAGGTACTTTTCTCTATATCTTCTGGTGCAATTAAGATTTGGTTGTAACAAGAGTACCCATATAAGAAGTAATACAACTCTTATCCTACCAACATATCTAAACATTGGTCCATGAAAGACTTTGGAAAATTTTCTTTCAAGGTCTATTTGTCCTTAAATAAAAATAAGCAATCGTTATGAGGTAAAAAACCAAATTAGTAGGTTGGGGTCGATACCACGAGAAATATGATCAAGACTTAAACTTAACTGACGATATTTAAGAATATAAGTAATTAAAGGGGCGGTGTGTGTGTGTGGGGGGGAGGGGGAATTTGTGAAAAAAATTTGGAAAATTATGTAAGTAATCAGTGAGCAAGATTCAAACTTGTAGTTTTTATCAAGATGAGAAAGTAACTAGAGTGTACGTGTTCCCCAAAAGCTCAAAACTTGGTAAATTTTAGTAATCACATGCAAAGTGATAAGTTATGTATCTCTAAATCTTTGGTCCTAGAGAATTTTACCCCGCACATTGGTCCAATTACGTGTGTACAATTTACTAACCCTAACCTTTATCTAGTATTAGACATCACATTGATGTATTACTTAGTTTTCACCCTCGCACCAATCTACATTAGATTATTAGATAGTATCACATTAAATCTATGTTGATAATTCTTTTCTTATTAACTACCTCCTTGGTCCGGCAAGTAGCAACAAGACGAGTTGTAACATGTCACTCATTAGACTTCTAATTAGAAAGAACTATCAATGCATGCAACAACACTATAAAAGAATTGCTTACTTACTGTTCATACTTTGTTAATCTCTCATGGTTCCCATAACCATAGTTGTGGATTAGTTACCCATATTAGCAAGAACAAAATTCATATTTTTAGATGAAAGAATCATGAACTTATGTAACAAGAAGAATAAACTTAAAATTTCAGCTTGAATTGCAAAGTCAAAGTCTTCAAAATATGCTTTAGAAATCAATAATTGCCAAAGTTATAAAATTGATCTCCAAAGTCTAGATTTATCACAAGAATAATAAAGTCTAGCCTCCAAAAACGAGGTTTACTTGCCCTATTTATAGAAAAATAAGTCCTAAATAAAAAGGAAACAAAATAAGGAATTAATGTTTTAGTCGTGTCTTCAATATACGACACTTCTATGGACCTTAGGTCCCTTTTTGTCGCTCAGGACTTAGGAAAATTTCTAGTCTTCAAAATATCGACATCTCTTATCAGTTGGATGGATCAATAGGATGGACTGTAGATCAATCTACGGTACAAGGATCCTCCTATTTAGCTACATGCTTATAATTTTAACCATCAGGTACTGGAACCAACTCCATGAATGATTTGATGGAGTAACTTTATGGTCCATAGATAAATCTACGGAGCATTAGTTGCAATCGTGGTTCCACACTTAGTCTAGAATTTTCAGATCTTTAGCAATGCCTTGCCTGCCCTTGTATGTTTATATCTACGGAGCTCGTGAATACCTACGGTCCGTAGATCACCTTGGTAGATGCTCTTTCTATACTTCTTTTAACTGTGTCTCCAAGTTTCCACGTCTAAACATATTTACTGAAAACATGAGAAAAAAACATAAAAACCAATACAAAATGGCCCTAAACACACAAAAATCTTAAGTGAAATGTATCAAAAATATTGTAAACTCACGGTACATCAACACCCTTAACTTAAATTCATCGTTTGTCCTCAAGCGACACACTAATACTCTAAATGACACTTGTATAGAAGCAAGCAATTCATGCTGAAGAAATAAAATGTCTCTCCATCTCGACTCCCTTCTTTGGTGCAAAACTTTTTTCTCATACTCAATAAGCCAACTCACGACCTTACTTCAAATGAAATCCCTTTTTTTCACAGAATTTCATATGGTTTTGGATAGAAGAATTCATTCAACACTCACACTCTGAAGTAATTTCAAGTACAACTAGTTCTCCATGCCATAGGCTTGCCTTAATTTACACTACTTAGACTCTCCAAACTAGATTGTGGGATCACAATAGGACATTCTTGGCTTGTAACATAGGCTCAGGTTTAGGTGTGGTACATTTAGGTACTTTTAGAGACTTTCTTCCCTTCTTGACATTAAATTATACCTTTTTTTCTCTTATTGCCCCTTTTTTACACATCCGACCTTTTTCTCTTCTTTTCCTTGATTCTTTTCGACCATGGATGTGACTTTTAGACTTTGTAGATCTTTATTATTCGCTTTTCTTACTTTTCTTGTAATTTCTTCTTTTCTTTCATTTTTAAACAATTATGCTCAATTTATTTCACACCAAGTCACATCCTCTTTTTTCCCCTTTTTCAACACTACAATCTTTTCATACCCATTTTTATTTTTATTTCCTCTTTCATATCCACCCTCAACTTATAAATTTATCTTTAGTTGAGGTGCACAATACTCGATGTTGGATATGGGGAAAGACTGAGGTAGCTTTTGCATTAGCCACCCTCAACTTAGACTTTTGGCCTAAGTCGAGGTATACATGTCCAAGGAGGGATCAGGGCCATCAGAGTAAATTATGGGAAGGTGAGTTACAGGTTTATAAAGAATAAGTCTTATTTAGGCTCATAACATTTGGATCAACAAGAATATTTATTTCATTTGGTTGGATTCTTTTAGGGATTTAGTAGAATTTTTAGAACAAGGGCCTATGATCACTTCGTAGCCGTTAGAGTAGATTATCTTACCAGGACTAACCAGACAAGTTCTAGATTGGCACGAAAGTTGTTTGAACAATCAATTGTTCCTACACACTCTTGGAACATAGTTTTGTTATTAGATTAGCTAGTTCAAGTGAGAGAAATTAATGAAGTCCAGTTGGTTCATTAACATGTCATACTTAGAGCCTACACATTCAGCTCATTCTAGCCTATAAATTTTAGCACATATCTCATATTTTGAAGGATATAATTTTCCAAACAAAATAATGCCATCATGCTTAATTCTTTCTCATACTTATACACACACAATCATAACACATGCTGGTTCAACAAAAATTAAGCAGTCTCTCGGGGAAAAATTACAGGCAAGAAAATCCCAAGAGAGGATTATGAGTTAGGTTACTTAGTATTCAACCTATAACTCATAAACTGTTTACCCCACCCCTAATAAAATAGGTGAAATTGTGCCCAATGCATAAAAAAGCAAAAAAAAGTAATTGATTTGGGTGAAGCAAACTTGTGGTGCATGGCAGCGAAGAATAATCAACAAGCGGGTGGGAATGGTTTCCCGAATTCCACTACAACAAGATTGGGGCCACCCTCTGTTGTGCCCAAATCTTTTGTCACAATACCATCATTAGTGATATCAGTTGGTCTCACCGCAATATCAATGGTAGGCGCACATCGCTGTCTCTTTAGGAAGAACCTTCATTACGGGAGTAGAACTCGATGTCCTAATAACAATCTCACGGGCATAAAACTCGATGCCTAAAAATAATCTCACGGGCCCTAAGTTGAGTCAATTGGTCATCTAGTGTAGAACCCTTTTTCGCTTGCTTCTCTTTCTTGCGCTCCCTTTTCTTGTTTCTATCATCCTCAGTGGATTCAATAGTGCGACTAGATTGGTGTTTCTTACCTTGGGAATTTGTGGGCATGAGATACCCCTCTGCGTCTCAACTGACTAATGTATCTATGACCATATCATCAGACACTACGGTCGATGCAGCCTATGTGTCCCGCCCCGCAAGGCAGAACATTAAATTCCGTCAATTCCAAAAACGTTGCAGCTATTCCTCAAAGCTTGGAGGGTCCAAAAGGCCTTGTCAAACTGCCTCCCCAAATGCTGGAGGTTGCTTTCCAACATGGAGAAAATAGGCCATGCTCACCAGGCCAGCCAAGGGGTGAATGACAAAATTCTGTCCAAGCAGTCTGCCATGTGGCTGTAAAGCTGTGAAGACAAAGCTGCCTCCTCTCTAGCCTCTGAAAACCTGCCACTTGGAGCTTTTAATTTTGAATGTTTGCCCACACGTTTTTGGCTCACTTTTGGAGCCTTTGTATATGGTAGAAGTTGCATTTTCAGCAGATAGTTAGAAAAATACTTCCTCTTACTTTGTAAAAGCTCTTGGAAGCTCTCTCTCTTGGAAAATATTGGAAAATTGGCCTTGCTGCCTCCCAAAACGTGGTTGCTTTTCTTGCTTGCATTCTTGCCTTTATTTTCTGTTTTGTGGCTTTGCTTGTGGACTCTTGCTTTAGATTCTTTGGACGTTTGGTTGGACTGAAGTTAGAAGAGCTGTGCAAGCCTTCTTGACTGTCCTTCACGGTGCTGAAAAATTCACCCCGTGACAAGTTGGTATCAGAGCAGCAGTTAAGCATGACGTCCAGGTCGCAGCGGAATGAGGAGAACGTTCAAGACAAGGAACCAGAGGTTCGGAAAGAACCATCCAAAAAACGAGACAAGAGTAAGGTAAGAGAGCCCTCTTCTACCCCTTCTCTTGCTGGTCGAACTGTTGTTGAAGAGGAAGGAGGTTCGGACAACAACCCACTCAACGAGAGAATCGTCGGAGTTGAGGTGGGGTTGTCGGCCTTGAACCGGAGGATTGTGGTGGTTGAAAATAATTTTAGTTCCCTCGAGTCTGTAGCCATTGAAGGGCTGGACGAGGGGAAGAACAACTTGGGTGAACTTGAAGACATGCAACGAGAGGGTCTGTCAGCCCTTGAAATCAAGTTCAACGAAACCATCTTTGCTCTTCAAAGAGAGGTGGAGGCTTTGAAACGGCAGGTTGATGAGACTGCCGAGGAGGGAGTTGCTCCTCCCGTTACAGTTCGAGAGACCCGGATTGAGGCTCCTAAACCCAAAGAGTTTCGAGGGGAGAGGAGTGCTCAGGACGTAGAGAACTTCATATGGCAAATGGAGTCATATTTCGAATATGTTGACATGCACACGGAAGCGGCCAAAATCCGGACAGCGGCTATGTATTTGACGGACACAGCGATGCTGTGGTGGCGACGCAAAAAGGCTGATATGGAGAGAGGGGCTTGCCAGATTGATGATTGGGAGCAGTTTAAAACTGAGCTCAAACGACAGTTCTATCCCCAGAACGTCGTCCACGAAGCCCGCAGGCGATTGAGGGAGCTAAAACAGACTTCCTCCATCCGGGATTATGTTAAGGAATTCATGAAGTTGACACTTCAGATTCCTAGTTTGACGAGTGAGGACTTGCTGTTCTATTTCCTTGATGGCCTGCAAAATTGGGCCAAGAAGGAGCTGCAAAGGTGTCAAGTGCATGACGTTGATGAGGCGATCGTAATGGCGGAGTCGCTCAACGACTTCCGTGGTGATGCTGCCAAGGGGAGGGATAACAGGAGCACAACTATTCCTCCTAAAGTCGACAACAACAACAGGGGCCGTAGCAGACCAAATACCAACCGGAGCAATGACACGAGAAGCAACCCTCGTGATCAGCCTTCAAATTTCCGGAAAAATTATGAAGACCGCAAGAGGGGTGCTCCTCAGCGGGAAGGCTGTTATATCTGTGGAGAGACGACACATGCCGCTCGGTACTGTCTGTCGTTGAGGAAGCTTAGCGCCATGGTGGCTGCTGAGAAGCAGCAAGAGAAGCCTGCAGCGCAAGCAAGCAGTTCTGTCGGTGAGAAACGTGGGAAGAGTAGCCGAGCTGACAAAGACAAGAACGTGGCCGTAGGGATGTTCAACCATATGGCGCTGATCAACCACATCTCCATTGCTGCCTTGGCTGCCAAACCAGCTGGAGTCAGGGCTCGGGAGTCATTGTTCGTCGATGCCAAACTGAACGGCAAAGACGTGCGGATCATGGTAGACACAGGGGCAACCCACAACTTTGTGACTGAGCAAAAGGCCAAGGAGTTGGGCCTAAATTATGTTGCCAGTAATACCAAGTTGAAGACCATCAACGCCACTCCTACTAGTGTCAATGGTTTTGCGGCGGCAGTCCCAATTGTGTTAGGAGAATGGGCCGGGCAGACTGATTTTACAATTGCGCCAATGGATGTTTTTGATATCATTTTAGGACTTGACTTTTGGTATGAAGTTAATGCCTTCATCTCACCGCGTCACAACCAGCTACATATTAGCGATGTTGGAGGGTCTTGCGTGGTACCCCTTATTCGGGTACCACAAACTGGAATGCAGTTGTCAGCAATGCAGATCATCAAGGGGTTCAAGAGAGGCGAGCCAAAATTTACTGCCACTCTGATTGAAGATGCTGGGAGCTGCGATGAGGCAGTTCCATTGCCGCCCTGCATCGAACACGTCCTTAGCAGCAACAAGGACGTTATGCCGGCCAAACTTCCCCAACGGCTGCCACCTCGGAGAGAAGTTGACCATCAAATTGAGCTAGTTCCAGGGGCAAAGCCGCCTGCCATGACGCCTTATCGCATGGCGCCCCCGGAGCTGGAGGAGCTAAGGAAGCAGCTCAAGGAGTTGCTGGATGCTGGGCACATCAGGCCGTCCAAGGCGCCGTTTGGTGCGCCTGTACTGTTCCAGAAGAAGAAGGACGGGACACTGCGATTGTGCATCGACTACCGGGCACTCAACAAGGTCACAGTAAAGAACAAATACCCCGTGCCTTTGATTGCAGATTTGTTCGACCGGTTGGGACAGGCGAAGGTGTTTACAAAAATGGATTTGAGAAGAGGCTATCACCAAGTCATGATTGCCGATGGTGATGAGCCGAAGACTGCTTGTGTAACGCGTTATGGGGCGTTCGATTGGCTGGTAATGCCATTTGGGTTGACAAACGCACTGGCAACATTCTGCACGTTGATGAACAGACTATTTCACTCCTACTTGGATCAGTTTGTTGTGATTTACCTGGATGATATCGTTGTCTACAGCGACAACATGGAAGACCATGTAGAACACTTGTGCAAAGTGTTTGAGATTCTGCGCAACAACGAGCTGTATGTGAAGCGTGAGAAGTGCAGTTTCGCACAACCAATTGTCCGTTTCCTTGGGCACACTATCAGCCATGGCAAGATTCAAATGGATAGCGACAAGATAGCTGTTATCAACAATTGGGAAGCACCAACGAAGGTACCAGAATTGAGGTCCTTCCTTGGCCTGGCTAATTACTACCGGCGCTTCATCTTCAATTATTCCGCAATTGCAGCGCCTCTCACAGACCTGCTGAAAAAGGACCGTGCCTGGAATTGGTCGGCAGCTTGCCAAACTGCCTTTGAGAGGCTGAAGTTGGCTGTGACGCAAGAGCCTGTGTTGGCCTTGCCAGATTTCTCCAAGCCATTCTAAGTCCACACAGATGCATCGGACTTCGCTATCGGTGGCGTCCTAATGCAAGAGGGCCACCCGATAGCCTATGAGAGCCGGAAACTGAATGAAGCGGAGCAGCGGTACTCAGCACATGAGAAGGAAATGGCTGCCGTGGTGCACTGCCTGAGAACGTGGCGCCACTACCTGCTGGGGGCTCACTTTATCGTCAAGACGGACAACGTCGCGATGACCTATTTTCAGTCCCAAAAGAAGCTGTCCGCCAAGCAAGCTCGATGGCAAGACTACCTGGCTGAATTCGACTTTACCCTGGAGTACAAGCTGGGGAAGGCAAACGTAGTGGCTGATGCCCTTAGCCGCAGGACTTCATTGGCAACTATTGTGAGCTCAACCAGCAGCTCAATTGTTGACAACATTAAGCAGGGATTGCAACATGATCCCATTGCCAAACAGCTCTTCGCCTTGGCCCAGCAAGGCAAGACGAAGAAGTTTTGGGCGGAAGACGGCCTGCTATATACAACGGGCAGGCGTGTGTATGTCCCGAAGTGGGCTAGCCTTCGGCGTACCTTGATGAAAGAAGGCCACGATTCTGCTTGGGCTGGTCACCCAGGGCAGAAGAGGACCTTTGCACTACTGGAAGCTTCATACTACTGGCCTCGGATGCGAGATGACGTCGAGGCGTATGTGCGAACGTGCCTTGTCTGCCAACAGGATAAAGTTGAGACAAAGGTACCAGGCGGATTGCTGGAGCCGCTGCCCATTGCTGAAAAACCTTGGGACAGCGTCACCATGGATTTCATAACATGTTTGCCAAACTCGGAGGGCTTCGGAATAATTATGGTCGTGGTGGATCGTTTCTCCAAGTATGCGACGTTCACCACCACCACGACTAACTGTAAAGCCAAGGAAGCTGCCAGGGTCTTCCTACGTGATGTTGTCAAATACTGGGGCATTCCTAAACACATCATCAGCGATCGTGATCCCCGGTTTATAGGTTCGTTTTGGAGGGAGCTGTTTAGCTTGCTGGGGTCGAAGTAGCATTTCTCGACCAGTTTCCACCCTCAGACGGACGGGCAGACGGAGAGAATCAATGCACTATTGGAGTGCTATCTGAGGCACTATGTTAGTGCTAATCAAAGGGACTGGGCAAGACTGCTAGACACTGCCCAGTTCTCATATAATCTACAATGCAGTGAGGCAAAGGGGAAGAGTCCGTTCGAGTTAGCGACGGGGCAGCAGCCAACAACACCCCAGTCTTTGCCTGTTGACACTGGTTTCAAAAGTCCAGGTGCCTATCAAATGGCCAAGGCCTGGGAAGAACAGGTCGACCTTGCACGGTCGTACCTCAACAAAGCTGCCCGAAAAATGAAAAAGTTTGCTGATCGTAGGCGACGTCCGGTGAATTATCAGATTGGGGATAGAGTCATGGTGAAACTGAATCCCCGGCAATTCAAGTCACTACGAGGCGTGAATCAGAATTTGATTCGCAAGTACGAGGGGCAATTTGAGATTGTTGCCAAGGCTGGCAAAATCTCCTATCGGATAGACATGCCGCACCATCTGAAGATTCATTCGGTCTTCCACGCAAGCCAATTAAAGCCCTACACTGAAGACAAAGAGGATAAGGATCGGGGTCAGTCCGAGAGGGCTAGAATTTTCACAGCGCCGCCTACTGTGGACAAACAGATTGAGGCGATCATTGATCACCAGCTCGTTCATGGGAAAGGCTGGAACAATTCCAGTTCCCAGTTCTTAGTACACTAGAAGGGGACGGCACCGGAGGAGGCAACTTGGGAGAAGTACGAAGACTTGTGGCAGTTCCGCGACAAGGTCCATTGGTACATGCAGTTATGTGGCATCGGGGTCGTCGCCAGTTCAGGCGGGGGAGCGTGTCCCGCCCCGCAAGGCCGAACATTAAATTCTGTCAATTCCAAAAACGCTGCAGCTATTCCTCAAAGCTTGGAGGGTCCAAAAGGCCTTGTCAAACTGCCTCCCCAAATGTTGGAGGTTGCTTGTCAACATGGAGAAAACAGGCCATGCTCACCAGGCCAGCCAAGGGGTGAAGGACAAAATTCTGTCCAAGCAGTCTGCCATGTGGCAGTAAAGCTGTGAAGACAAAGCTGCCTCCTCTCTAGCCTCTGAAAACCTGCCACTTGGAGCTTTTAATTTTGAATGTTTGCCCACACATTTTTGGCTAACTTTTGGAGCCTTTGTATATGGTAGAAGTTGCATTTTCAGCAGATAGTTAGAAAAATACTTCCTCTTACTTTGTAAAAGCTCTTGGAAGCTCTCTCTCTTGGAAAATATTGGAAAATTGACCTTGCTGCCTCCCAAAACGTGGTTACCTTTCTTGCTTGCATTCTTGCCTTTATTTTCTATTTTGTGGCTTTGCCTGTGGACTCTTGCTTTAGATTCTTTGGACGTTTGGTTGGACTGAAGTTAGCAGAGCTGTGCAAGCCTTCTTGACTGTCCTTCACGGTGCTGAAAAATTCACCCCGTGACACTATGGCTCTACTGCAAGTGGGGAAAGAATGACATTGAAATCAGCCTGGAGACTAGGTAACTCAGCATGGAAGGAGGACATATCTATAGTAGGGGTCAGTCGCTCCAGGACTATCAATTCAAAGGTGTGCAAGCGATTATTAATGGCCTAAATCTTGTGATCTATCATAGCCAACATTCTTCTCTCTATTCTGGTCTCGGGCTCTGCTATTGATTTTTGTATCCATGGCCGGACATAATGAAGAAATATGGCCATGCGGGCCTAAATTTTTTTTACCCTGGCCAGTGGCACAACTGTAGATCCTAATGGTTGGTGGGGTCAGGAGGAGCTATGAGCCCGAATAGCGGCCTCAGAAGAGGAGGAAGGGTAACATCAGTATGGGCTGGAGTGGAAAGATGATCACCCTAATCTACTCCATAGAATCAACAGACTCTATGTCCATAAGGGTAACCTCAACATGTGGATCTCTACGCGGTGCTGCCACATTTACCTCATCCCGCATGAGGCCTATATATGGTGTTCTCGTGGCCGGATCAAGTTGTCACAGTGCTCGATTGGAAATCTTCGCCTCGCATAGTGTACCACTTATAATTGAATTCCGCTGCATTGACTATCTAAGAGTGATTAGGGTCGTGACTATAAAGAAAGTGCCCGAATAGTGGTGTTGGAGATGTCCATAGACATCACACATTTACGACCCAAAATTACCCCCTAAAAGCTAGGGTAACCCTTAGGTCGGACAATTCCATACTTGACCTCTCTGAGGTCTTGTACAAGCCCTTATACATCATTCATTGCATAGATATGCAAAGTACATATAATTAAAATTTTTTATTCAAAAACATAATGAGGAAGCCATTTCATAAAACTTCTAAAATATGTCTCATAAATCATCTATGACATCACTAGTACAATAGTCTTGGGTCACGACCAGAAATGTCTTAAAACATAAAAAGACATAAAAGACAACATAGTAGTGTTGTCCTCGGATGCTATGAAGAACTACCAATCTTATTTCCTTGGAACCCTTGAAACTCTATCCTTGAAATACAATCAATATCCTAAAGACCCTACATGGACAATATGTAGAAAATATGCGTTAGTACGATATGCACTAAGTATGGAAACTATCCCAACAAACATAAGATATCTCAAAAGGTTAGGCAATAAGAGACATAGTCATAAGAGATAAAGACATAAGCATTACATATACATCATAAACATACTAAAGCATCTTAAAGCACATAAGAGTACATACTTACTTACTTGTCCTTCTTACTCAAGTGATCTACATCACAAGTTACCTCCAAGTATACTAGTGAAGGCTAAGGTAGAATCCCATACTACTAAAGCTAAGAACGTCTCTTCGGTAATTCTTGATCATAATCCACTTTCATAATTAAAACCTTAGTTAATAATGTCATATGAGAACTATTCCCCTTAGCCAACTCAAAACATACTTGTGCAATGCATGTAACACATCCCATACTACCTCACACCCTAACATATCTTGAAGTCATCATATCTTGTTTCTTTAAGTCTTTAGTAACCTTACTTCTACTAATGGGTAATAACACTCTTATGATTCTATCAAAACATGCTTCTGCAATGTACATGAGGCATCCCATACTACTCCATATACTAAGCCTATCTTGAAGTCATCCTTAACATGTTCACCCCCCATTGCTTTACCATATCTTAAATTTATTTATTAAGATCCTCTCATGTTTATTCTACTTTACTAGGAAAGGAAACTCTAGTCCAATCCTATCTTCAATCTCTTATTCATTAGTGAACCTATGTTATGCCTTGTGCAATGCGCTTATGATACCCCATAACACCACTCATGCAAGGTACTACTTTTGGATCCTTTTCTATTACTTCTTACTTTGGAGCCTAGCCCGTATCTTTATCTTTTGAACACTATATACTTCTTTAAGAATATCTAAGTTCCTTAATCATATGGATCCTATGAGATACTTTTTAAGGTATGTCTTGATCCCTTAATAATCATAAACACTACGAGATACCCATTGGGCATGTCTAAGCCCATTCACACATTATGAATACTACGAGATACCCCTTGGGTATGTCTAAGTTCATTCATTGATTATGAACACTATGAGATGCTTCTCAAGTTTTAAGTTCATAGAATATGGAGATCTGTACTAGGATACCTTGACTCTACTACGTGAAGGCCTCCCACCTCATGAGACCTACTTGGATAGTCAATACAACTACTAGGTATGGATATCCTTTATACTAGGAATCTAGACCCTTGCTAGACTATCCATACCACTTTGCATATCCACCTGGAGTCAAGCATATACTCCAAGGTTTACTTGTCAAGCCTTGCTCAAGCTTCTCGCATGGAGGGATATCCTAGACAATCTCTCCATGCTCAAGTGAATTCTATCACTTCAATCAATCATCCTAAATCTACAGCCAACACAACAATCCTAAGGTTCATTATTCATCTATTCATTCTATATTCATTCATATGTAGATTATAATCTTC